AATTAAATTCCTGCTAAAGGTTTATCACATTGTGAAGGCTTTCTTGCTTCTTTCTTAGACCCTCTCTCTCCCTAAGCCCCTTTCCTATCCTACCCTAGTCCTATATATGCAGAGACACTAAGTAAAGCCCTACAAGGGACTCTAAGAACTGGATGAGCAAAGCCTATTTTGCTTTACCAAAAACAATAGTGTTGATGATACAAATACATATTTAAGCTCAAGATATCCATTCTAAGTAGTCTGAAGACATGTTCCGGGGAGGGAACCCCTTGTACCTGGAGCTGTGGAGACTCCCAAGGACAAACTGCTGTCTGTATCTTAAAATTACATTTGCATTTTGGCATATTGATTTGAGGCAAACGTTAGATTCCCAAAGCGTGTCACTGGTATTATTTCTTTCGACACCCTTCTTTTCCAATCTCTCTGCTTCTTGTGAACAAGTTAAGAGGCATCTTGTTTCATGATTTTATACCCAACTCCCAAGCCTTCTCTACTTCAATTTTCCTAGTTTACTACTGTATCTCTTAGGTGTGCTTCCAGCAACTCATGAGATTTTGCTTTCCATTCATTCATTTTATTTATTTATTTATTTATTATTTAATCAGCGTGTATTGAATGCTTACTCCTTGCACTTTGCAAAATGCCCGGGAGGCAAAGCACGTGTCTTGCACCAAAGAAGCTCAATCAGAGGGCAGGGAGACAAGTAAACGAGTGATTATCACAGCACACCACTCACTGGCACCTCTGTTCCCTTGCCTTGGTCTATTCTTACCTCCTGGTACCTCTGCTGAGGCCTTAAGCCCAGCAGTCTGGACATTGGCTAACTCTCTGTGCCAGGATCTAACAAAAAAACTGTGATTTTTAAGAGGAAGGGACATAATTCAAGATTTGAATTTGGTGGGCGCAGAAGATACTTGTTACAGCAGGAATTAAAAACTTAGGTGCCTCTAGGGGGCAGGAGTGAGCCACAAAGAGTGAAGAATGAGGAGGCAGGATAGTTAGGGAGTGCTGGGGTCTATAGCTTATTGGGGAGCACATGTCCCTACCAGAGGGGTAAGTGCTTCAAAGCTCCAGTCCCTTTTAGCCATGCAGAATGTGGCTCCATTGTGGCCATTTATGATTTATCAAGGAAAGCTGAAAGGCTAGTTTTTTGTTTTTTTTTTTTTTGTTTTTTTTTTTTTACAAAATCACCTGTTAGTATCTAATTCTGGGTTTTAAAAACGCTGTCCTGACCAATGTTCCATGCTGGGCTTCTGGCCACCACTTCGATGGCTTTGCTGTTATAAGAAGCATTTTTGCAGCACACTGCATTGAGATTTGATTTCCACTTTTGGCCTTTCTTCCTTTTTTTTTTTTTTTTTTTTTGGCCTTTCTTCCTAAAGGCCATTTGATCTTGAGCAAATTGCACCTCTTTGGACCTCAGTTTGTCATCTTTATGAGGAGGGCAGGCCCAACAAGTCTTGGAAGGCCCGAATCTGATAATCCATGGTTGTGGCACTGTTTGCATATCATCACTTTGTTGACATCACCCTGTCCTCCTCCTCTCTGCCCCTCTGGCCAGAGAGTAAAGGCTGGCTTTGGATCAAAGAGCTTCCTTAAAAAAGCCTTCTATAAAGCAGTGTAGTCATCTTAGATATGGATTTGGAAGTTATGAAAGAAGACTCAAGGATCTCCTGGTCCACCCTGCTAGGTTAAGAAATGTGCACAAGGCTGTGTAGATTTTATTGGCTTTCCTGCCTTAGAGAGCTCCTCTCTTTTTATATCTAGTTGGTAAATGGTGTCATAGTACCTAGAAAGATGTAACTCACCATTACTATGGACTATTTCCTGCTTCTACCAACAGGATCAGGTCATTAGAGCAATTAAGATACGTTATCCCGGGACGCCTGGGTGGTACAGCGGTTGAGCGTCTGCCTTTGGCTCAGGGCCCCGGGATTAAGTCCCACATCAGGCTCCCTGCATGGAGTCTGCTTCTCCTTCTGCCTATGTCTCTGCTTCTCTCTGTGTGTGTCTCTCATGAATAAATAAATAAAATCTTAAAAAAAAAAAAAAAGATCTGTGATCCCATGAACCGCAGAGTACCAAATCAGAGTGGCCAATCACTCATGGGGATATCAGCCTACTGGCCTCTTCATGATCTGTGCTAAATTAAGATCGGCCTTCTCCTTGAGATTTTGACATTTAGTTGCTATTTACATTAGAAAGTAGTTACCTAATCTAGTAATTTGGTTCAACAAATATTGTATAAGCCATATGATATTTTAAACAATTTAAGCTCCAGGAGTAACAGCCCCATAAAGGGTGCGTGTTAGCAGTGCTCTATGGGACATAAATTAAGAAGAGCATTTTTCCAGCTGTAGTTGGATACTTGGGTTGGTGTTTCAGCAAACTGCATAATCAGCACAAAGCCCAGATCATTAGAGTCTGCTGGCAGGAATCAGCAAACCTGCAAATCACCAGGAGAGCCCAAATACGCCGAGATGAAGTGGTCCTTTGAAATCTGACTGTCTGTTGAAAGCAACACGGGAGACCATGACCTCATATATAGGAGTGAGCAATTGGTCTTACTTCCGCTAGAGAGCATGAGGCCCTCACCAACCTCATTGCTTTTCTATTTGCAACCACCCCAAAGCCTCCCATTTCACTTAGAATAAATGGCAGACTGGCAGACTTGCTGCCATGACCAGTGGTCTTCACAAATATGCTCCTGCCCAGCTCCCTTGAGCTAATTACTGTCACATGTGACTTTGCTCACTTGGCTGCAGTCTAGTTGCCTTTGTTGCTGATCTTCAGACACCCTGAGTTCCTTCCTGCCTCAGGACCCTTGCACTTGCTGCTTCCACTCCCTGGAAGAATTTTTCTCCAGATCCTCTCATTGCTTGCCTCTTCCCCTCACCTCCTGTGCTTTAGCTTTCCTTTCTCAGAATGGTCCTCCTGGACCATTGCGGATAACGCATCTTCCCAGTTACTCTCTTTTGTTTGGTCAGTTTGGGATTTTTGTTTTTTTATGGGAGTATAGATGACACCCAATGTTAGTTTCAGGTGCACACATAGTGATTTGATGATTATATATGTTATGCTGTGTTCACCCCAGGCGGAACTTCCATCTGCCTCCATACGTTGCTATTACAATAGCATGCCTATTCAAGCTATGCTGTGCCTTTAGTTCCCAGACTCATTCAGCCCATAACTAGAAGCCCAGAACTCCCACTCCCCTTTACCCATTTTTCTCCTCCCCCCACCCCCTCCCCTCTGCCAACCATCAGTTTGTTTTCCCGTATTTATGGGCCTTCCCAGTTACTCTTTGTCCTCTTGGGTTGTTTTGTTTTCTGCATAGCACTTTTCCTCATCTGGAAATTTATAATTTATTCACTTGCATATATGCTTATTATCTATCTGTCCCAATACAAAATAGACCTCCCTGAGTTAAAGATGTATATCCTACCAGGTCCTAGCTGGGGACATGGGCTTTCTGAGCCTAGGTTCATCACCTTAGTAACATAGAGATATCAATAAAAGAATAACTGGGGCCATCTTTCTGTCTCAGAGACTTTGAGGGGATCAAATGAGAGCACCAGGAATGGCCCCGACTTGTGACCCAGTGCATCTTCCTCTTTATAGTGTTGCAGCTCGATAACCTACTCACTCCTCAACCTATCCATCAGCTAGTGTCTTAATATCCAAAAAGTCCTTAAAACATATGCTCATTATAGAAACTTATAATATATAATCTATGTAATTCTTCTGTGTGTGTACTTTCATTTCTATGAGTATATAAATATATATTTTCACCCAAGTGTATCATGTTATTCACATGTTTGTATCTATATAACATTATTTGTTAATCTTATATCTTGAAATATTCCTCAGAGTCATGTTGAATGCTAAAACATATCGTACCATACTTTACTGAACCATTGCTTTATTATTGGACATCTGGGTTGCCTTTTTTTTTTTTTACTCTGTATAAAGTTCACTATCTTGAACATCTTTATGCATAAATGCCTTGTTGGACCTTTTATTCTTTTCTTAGAACACCAGTAAGTGGAAATCATGCATTTACTGAATTTCTGTGTGCCAGTGGTTCCCTGTACAGCACTATGGGGAATTCCAAATAAGTCCCAAACTGTTAAAGAAGTCACGCTGGTTGAGGAGCTAAAGTTCAGACACAGAATGCAATAGAGAGCAACCACAGCCAGTATGCAGTTGATTAAAGACTGAAGGAGGCTGTTGCAGACAAGGTGCTGCAGGCAGAGGTTGGGGGTGGTGTTTTGGGAACAGAAAACCAGAGGGTGGCAGTGGAGGCAGAAAAGCTGCACAAAGGCTGGATTTGATGGGCACTTGGGAGGGAAGGTTGGGAGAAGAGAAGGCATTTGGGATAGGAATCACATCAGGGAAGGCATGGAGGCTGGAACAAGCCAGGCTCAGAGCAGCCTGGGCTGCAGGTGAGGGCACCGGGCAGATGAGGTGAGGCCGCCTGGATGGGGCCAGAAGTGATGGTGCCACAGTCATGTGCTGGGCAGTTACATGGAGGCTAAGGATTATTACCATCATTCCGAATGCACAGGGGTCTGCTCAGAACAACAATATGAGCCATTTATACAAAAGACCGAAATGGAATCCAAATAACAGGTCCAGCTGCTCCAAATACCTCCCTCCCCCTGCAGTTAACATTTTACTACCCGACCGAGTAACTAATGAATCTGGCCCAGCCTAAATCCCCAGGCACAAATCCCTGCTTGGGGTCTGTGTCTAGACATCCAGACCCTAGGGCAATTTGCACTTTGAACATTCAGTGCCTTATCGCTTACGAGAAATCAGGTTTAATGGGGAAGATGGGGAGGTGTCGCCCCTACCCCCTCCCTTCAGCCTGGCGACTGTGGGCTAAGGGTCCCTGGGATAATGAATGTATCGGGTGATAGAGAGGTCGTAGTGGTGTTTGCTGTGTGGCTCCGGTCATCCACAAGCACTGACGGGGAGGTTTCTCCATCTCGTTGCAGGCTATGTTTCGTGAAGCTCAAGCTCCTAATGATAGCCATTGAGTACAAGTCCGCCAACCGAGAGAGCCGGTAAGCGTGCCACCACCCAGTGGCCTGCTGACACCTGCGAGGCAATGAGCGTGCTCTCAGGGAGCTCGGCCCACCTGCTTCTGTCCTCCACGTGATTAACATGCTCAGGCCCCTGGTAGATGCGCCTCTGAGCCTCGGCACATCTCAGGGCATGCCCAGCCAGATGCGGCCACCTCTGCTGCGGACCCCTGGCATCCCAAGCCCTGTTGGACATTCAGAAAGTGTGTCTCCAGAGGAGGGCGATGAGGCATCCGGAGGTCTGATTGTGCCAATTTAGGCTTTTCACCCTCTCTGCACAAAACCAGGGACAGGCCCCATCCTCAAAACCCTGTTTACTGCCGTGAGCATGAAGCAGGTGGATTCTGGCCCCCTCCACAGCAAGGATAGGGCAGGGCCGTGATGAGATGCACCGGCCCTCTTGATGGCCAAATTACAAGCAGCCTATTGTGTACCATATGTGCTTTTCCCGGTGCAACCGAAATCCAGGTGGCACAATGTCCGCTTCATGTAAATTAGCCAGGAGAGCAGGGCTCAGAGGCAGGAGCCCTCTTTATTTATTTATTTTGCACTTAATTATGTGCACATCAGACTGAGGAGGGACAGGGTCTGGTTGAAATAGATAACAGCCCAGTCGATACATGAGTTCTCGCCAGATGAAGGAAGCATCCCATTAACCCGGGAGTTTGTTGATGAAGGACCATACGCATTACCGATAAAATAGAGATGATTTTTTCCCCCCAATTTTTATCAATGGGTTTTGGAAGAAAGAGCTTATGGAGAAATGTGTGGGCTTTCGTCCTCTAGGATGACATCTGGGTGTATTCCTAGCGATAGGAAGTAAGTCTTCCCGTGACTGCCCAAGTGTAGAGGACAGATACCCTCCAACATGTGCCTTAATACATTAAGTGCAGGGCAGGACTAGAAGGTGCTCGCTATCACCATCTAAGGAGTTTTCATTATCTAGATGAATAACTCAATAAAGCTGGGCTTCCAAATGGACGCTCTCTCTGGGTAATTAATGCCATAAAGCCAGACTTCCAAACATACAGTCAGCGTCTCTGACAAAAAGCAAAACAAAAAGCAAACAAAACAAACCAAAACCAAAAAACACTGGATTGTCAGCAAGTCAATCCAATGTTCCCTGTTACCTTAACCACCAGATCAGATTGCTTTCACAAAGTCAATCTGATCAAAGGCTAAGCTATTTGGAAAATCCAAATCAACCAAGAGGAACTAAAAATGGTAGATTTGGTAGCTACATGTAAAGCGTGGCCATAGCAGTTAATAATTATGTATAGATACAGTTTTCCTTTTTGTGATGGCAAACTGAAGAATATCATGTGCAAAGAAGGGGGACCCAGAGCCCTGGCTATTTGCTGTTCCACAGACAGAGTCGGTGTTCCTGGAATTCCCACTTTCCCACATGGTGGCTAGTAGTCACCTGTGCCTGCGGAGGGGGAAACATGTGTTCTGGGTTTTTGCAAATGACATTCTTCATGTTGCCACGTCAGTAAATCTGTGTAATTCAGTCTTCTCTCTTTATCACTTCGGTGCATCTCTCAAAAAAGTGTGATGGTGTAGGTGGCGCTAACGCTGAATAGCGTCTCTTGACCATTCCTGTATAATTTCATGGCAGGAGTCTGCCCCCTGAACCTTGACCAGTCATCTCCCACCTGCCACCTTTGGTCACAAAGAGGGAGAGAAAAAGTCTGGTAATGGTTCAGTGTGAATCTGCTGTCACTATTCTAAGAAAAATAACTAAGAGCTTTCCCTGAAGACAAAGTCTTTTCTTTGATGGACCCTTCAATTAACTCACAAAGCTGAGATGTTTTCAACAAAGCCATATTTATAGATACAGATTTTTAGGTTTTTTTTTTTCTTTCAGAAAAGAGTGAAAAGAAATTGTTTGGCTTTGTTTTTGGCTTTCTGTGTGCCTTTGCCAACTTTAATTCCTCTCATGTGGCTTGGTCTCAGTGTGGAACACATTGGTTCTTGTGGAAAAAGGTGTGTGGGAGGGAATGTGGATCATGCCTCTGAGAAAACACTTAACTTCTCCAACACAATATCCATGTTAAAAAGAATCGAACTTTTGACCCTTCCTGAGCTAAGAATTTTGTTTTTTTTTTCTTCATTGAAGAATTTCCCATTTCCTTTCCTCTCCCATTTTCTAAGTGGCTGGGCGTTAAAATTAGAAGAACCCAGCCTCTCCCCCCACCCCTTTGCCCCCCAGCCTGTGTTGAACTACCTCCTCTGTTGTTTGACCCCATGACGCTGTTTCCATGCTCTGCTGAAAAACCTTGTTTTCACATGCATCCTTCAAATAATTTGAAACAAAGGTTTTCTTCCTTCTTTCCCTCTGGTGTCAGTCAATTTATTATCAAATTGTTTGATTTTAAATTCTTTTCTTGTCGTTTTGCAGAAGCCGAAAGCGGTATGCGCTCTTCGTTAACCTTCCTCCCAACCCCCACCCGCTATCTTCACTGCTAACCACAGGACTAACCATTTGCCAAGAATTCAGGAAGATAGAGATTATATATATGTATACACATACATATAATCTCGTTCCCTTGTCTAGTATATATATATATATGTAAATATATATATGTATATTTATAATTAAACCCCTCTCCAACTAGAGCACATAAACATTGAAAAGTAGCAGATTGCTTTTCTTGTTCAGTTTGTTGATTCTTTTGGATGACGCACTAACTTCTTTGCAGGAGACCTAAAAAACCAACAGGTGCAAGTCCCTGTTTTCAGTTATGGCACCAATGATGGGAACAAGTGCCAACAATGTTGAGAAGGAGGACGCTTCTCTCTAGCCCCTGGTGTCTGTTTCTGTCCTGTCCTGACGTGTCTTGGTGTCCACCGGACTCTGTGGTGCCATTTGTCTGCATACCACATCCACATTCCCAGTGACTTCCTCCTCCTCGTGTCCGCTTTCCAGTTTGTAGAGCAGGATTCGTGTCCTTTTATCCACAAAACAGAGACCAAGCTCAACTAACATTCAACTTTCTTTCCCTTACACTTATTTTGATGATAATATTTTGCATATTTTATTTCCTGGGCAATACTCGGTACAGACTTAGAACACTGCTACCTAATTGCCAGATTATCACATCTGATTTAGTGAATGAGTACCGTTTATTGAGATGAACTCATGGCTTTATTTTTTTCCCCAGTGTGTTTGGGCATATTTCTTAATGTGAAGTATCTCAGCTTTCACCATGTGACATCACCCTGTTATGCTGCTGTTCTCTGTTGCATGAAGCATGACCAAATCCTCATTGATAGCATTTTCTTTTAACTTTTTTGGTTAATATTTCAAGTGTAGTTTTTCAATAATGTGTTCTCTAAAACAGTATTGTTGAAAACATACTATTGAGATGCCTTTGTGTTCATCTTCTCAAGAGTTGTTTCTCTCCGTGGTTGGAATCACTGTCACTTGTTCATGTTTGTAATTGTGTGTGTGTGTGTGTGTGTGTGTATGTGTGTGTGTGGTGGGGGTATTTGTCTGGAACTCTTTCCAAAGTCAGATTCCTCTGTGATTTTTGGAGTAGATGTGTGACAATAGAGGTGGCTTCCTGTCAGTTTGGTATTATTGATATGATCCAACTGCAAGAAGTTACTGCAACACTTTGCATCTTCAAAGGTCCACAGTGGTTGCACCTCTGCTGTTGGCTTTTGGCCTTTGAGTCCTTTTATCTTGTGGTGGAGGCATGTTGTGACATAGCATGACTTGTCCTAAAGTGTACCACAAAGTGACATGGCTTGCTCCCAGAGCCAAATAGCCACTGTTTTCCTTTCCAAATGAACTATTTCTTCCCCATCCCTTATGGCTGCTGTTTTCCTTATGTGCAAAATATATTTTTAAATGCCATTTCTAAAATCATTGTGATGGGTTCAGGCCCAATAATTCCTTGCCCACATCATTGGCGTACCACAGTCGCAGGCATTTGAGTCTGACCAACTGGGAGCAATCTTTACTATGCTGTCTCTGTGTGAGTGACCTGGGCTCAAATATATTGAAGCATGGAATACACACTGTGTCTCCTACATAGATTCTATAAGCAAAAGTGTGTGTGTCTAGTTGTGTGGGACTCCAGCAGCATATAATTGAAAGCCCAGAAAAAATAAAAAGTTCCAGAAAGACAATAATATTTGAGATTTGGGGCTCCTGTAGGCTGTGCCCTAACCCAGCCCATCAACTGCAGGGCAGTTATACTCCTGAAAGGGTAAACAATTGGCTGAAACCAATTTCCACCTGATAGCAATCATATATGACCATGGGTGCTCAAAGAGGCCACTTCCCAGTGGTGTGATTCATCTGGGCAAGGCGTGAACTGAAGTTTTAGATGGTTCTAATTCCCTTGCTTTAGTTAATGAAGTCCCATTAGCTTGCTAGACACAGATATAATTATCATGTTCTCAAGTACAAATTATATTCTCATGTGACTGATAATTTTGTCATTGTTCGGGGAATGGTACATTACACCTACCAAAAACTGAGGGGGGTGGGAGGAGAAATACACACCTGTTAATTTACCCATAATAGATACAAGATTCTTTTAAAAAATATGGTTCAGCTGAACTATTCATCTTTGGTTGTCTCCAAAAACAACAAACAAGTAAAGTTTATGATGATGGAAGAAGGAATAAGTAGATGTTTCCTAGTTGTTATGCATAAGTGGTGGAGAAAAGGAATAAATCATTTTGCCCCATCAAGCCCCAAATCTCCAACCTGACTCAAATTCAGCGTGACATACACAATGAAATGCATTGTACCTTGAGGCCTGGAGCTCCCCTTCCGGAGGAACCCATCTGGGACGTTTCTCTGTTGAACTGAGCCCTGCTAGCCAGTTCTAGGTTCTTGTGTTTCAACTCTGAGTGGTACTTTCAATATTGAAATCAACTGCTGCTACTCCCCCAAGTGGCTAGCTGTTTATATATTTGTGTATTTACATTTTTGTACTTAGTGCATCCAGAAGATGGTTACCTCATGTGCCAACCCCCTAGAAAAGGTGAGGTCCCTCCTTTGGTAGGGCTGATTGTTAAGAACTTGGCTCAATCTTTGAAAGAACAGCTGTGTCTACCTTTCTCCTCACTGGAGAGGGAGAGGAACACTTTTGGAACTGAGACCTTTGATTTATATTTTTCGTTCCTTCCACCAATAGTTGAAAAGTGCCTATTGCATACAGGGCCCTAAGCGGGCTACCATGGGAAACTTATTTACAAAAACAAATAAAATATGAGCGTGCTTTTCACTCCCTTTTTTCAACTAGGGGTTCCCCATGGAAAATATATATTTGTTTCCTGAGAGTGGGCGAGGAGCCAGAGAATCAGCCAAATGCAAAGGTAGTCTGAGAGCCAAAGAACAAGAGAGAGCAAGAAACCTTAGGGAAGGAGCTACATAAGCCGTTGGCCTCCAGCTGCCACTGAATGTTTTCTGTTGAAATTAGCAAGGTCATAGAGGAAAGAGGATAATTTATATGTTCTTTGAAATGAGGGAAAGTCCATCCCTTGCCAAGAAGATGTCCCTATTGGAATTCTACTAATTGATATATGGACTTTTTCTTAGAGATTTTCTTGATTCTTCACATGACACATCTTGAAGTTTATCTCTGATAAGCAAGTAAATTAGACACAATTGGAGCCAGGGACTGATTTAACGTGATGCATAGGGAGGGAGATGTCTGGCAGTCACAAGAACAAAACAAACTTAACATTGGATATTCTTTTAAGAGATCAAACAAAGACCTTTGGACAGATTTACATATTCCCAGTAGGAGGTCAATCACATATTCTGAGGGTAGTAGGAATTTTGCTGGGGAAAAAAAATTACTGCTGTGTAGGATCCTTTTTATATATTTTTTTTTTCAAAAAGAGGAGGATTAACATTTTATTTAAATTTTCTAGATACGGAATGTGGATAGAAGACTTAATGTCTACAGTATTAAAAAGAGTAATGCATTTCCTCAAAGAGACTTTGAAGCCTGTACCTTTACATAGGGAGTATTATATGCAGTGGGCCCGTGGAATCAGGACCACATGCTTCTCTAACCAAACTGCTAAATATATGAATGGAATACAGCACAGTGAACATTCTTATGTATCTAGACTTCTTTCCTTCATTATTCTCAAGATCTGGGCTTGTTCTTTCAATTCCCACCCAGAAAGCTGCCTTAGCTTGATAGCTGCTAATGTGAGCATAAAGCGTCACACATGCTTTAAAGAGATGACTCAAAGCCTCTTACTCCTTGTTAAGCCCTCTCTAAAAGAGAACAGAAGGCATCCTGGAATCACATAGTCAGTGATGTCCTTGGAGGTGCATAAGGTTTGAGGAACACAGATAGACTCCACTCTGCAGCCAGAAGGCAGTCCAAATTAGCCCGTCTCCAGATGTTGTAGAGGGATATAATATTTTGGATACTGTAGTCAGTAAAAAGGTCTTTCAAATGCCAATAGGGGGCCTTCTGGTGATTTATTAGCACCAAGAACAAAATGGAGAGCTAGCCCCTGTGACAGATTATTTGCTTCTTATTTAGTTGTTTTAATAACCATGCTTACTATTAATAGTGACCATGCATTAAGGATCTACTATGTGGCAGTCACTCAGCACCTAGTATATACTTTAGCTCTCTTAGTGACACTATAAGCTGGAGATTATTCCCTCCATTTCATAGATGAGGAGAGTGAGGCTTAGTGGCCCCCACATGCTCCAGGCCAGAGTCTGAACTCCTAGGCCTGACACATGCACCTGCTAGCTTAACTAGCATTGGCAGTGAAACAGATTTGAACACAAATCTGCCTTCTATCAGTGCCCCAGATCTTTTGTCTCCACCATGCTAACTCGACTAAAGTAGGCTTGAAGGCTGTAATAAATCATCTCAACCTGCAGTCTCTGGAATGATAATCCCAAATTCTCATTGTAAGCCAATTCTTGTTCACTGCTGATAAAGAACAGAGTAAATGAAAAGAAACTTTTCATTGATAGGAACCTTGCTATCACTGTCTTCCTACTATGACACAGTGGGCTTGATCACTGGAGTGCAATTAGAGAAGCACATAATGTAAAAAAGAGTTCTGTGCAAAGCTTGTTTTGCACATATATGTCACCAAGACATTGATGAGTGTCAAATTTCCCCTTTTGAATTGCATTGTTGAAATCATGATTGGATTTTTTTTTCACTCAGAAGCTTTTTTTACACTCTTATATAAATACATATCAAAATGTAGATTTTTCCAACTTTAAGGAATTAGCTTCGTCAGATGCCATAAGTACCCAGAATTTTTCATGTATGTCCTTGTACATTATTGTGGACTGTACAGTTCTTCACCCTATAACTTCATCTCATTATGAACAGGATATTTTGATAAGGAACCCTGTGTTCCATTCCGTGGGGCCAGCTAAAGAAAATATGATAATTCCATTGAAAATGAAATACACTTTTGCCTTTTTTTTGCACTAATAAATAATAAGAGTAACCATAACCAATATGCAGTGAGCCTTCTGTACATTATCTTGCATTATCTCTGAAGAAAGACTATGATTATCATCATCATTGTAGGTGAGGATATTGAGTTGGAGGGAGATTTAGTAATTTGCCCAAAGCCAGACAGCTACTAAATGGTGATGCTGCATTTTCTGATTGCAGAGATAGGGCAGACAAGTACTGCCTGACAGCAAAGGGGTAAGAAAATGTGCAAAATCCAGAATTCTCCCCTTCTAGACCATCACATTTAATTGGCTTTGAAAAAGGAGTCCATCTAAACTGTATGAGCTCTGACCCTTTTTCCCCTCGTGATCATGAGAAGTCAGAGGGCAGTTAAGCCAATGTAAAGAATTGGCAGAGGGGTAATTAGGAGGTGCCTATCCAGTGCTGCTGCCAGTTGCAAGCTGTTGCTCTTAGTGTGGCCTGCTTCTTCCAATTTCTGAAGAATCTCATTGTTGCCTGTGGTTCTAGGGAAGAACAGACCAATCATCATGGTCTGTGGCTATTATTTAAGTGTTAATAACAGTGATGACACAGGATTGGTTTCCTTCTGTCAGGTCCCGTTATGGGTAATAGTGGATGTTCTTGCAACCACAGACAATTATTTTGCCATAACAAACCACTCTGAGGCTTCCCAATAGAACAAGTTTACCTGAGTCCTTCCTGTATTGCTACAGACATGTCACTCTGTTGGCCACAGCCCTTCCCTGAAATGGTTTTGCCGGCAGTAAAAAATAAAACAAAACACAACTTGTTAATTAGCATCCTCCATTTTGATTGCCTTAGACACTTGAGGACTTCCTTTAGCCTAATTCCAAACATCTATTACTTTAAAGCCAGATTTTCAGATCAGAGAACACCTTTGTTATATCTATTGCTGCATTCAGGGTACCTAAATACCCTGTTCATTAAGCCCAAAGCCTGTCAGTCTCTTTATAATACATGCCTGCATTCTGTTCTTGATCTGCAGATATTAAACTTATTTATTTTACCCATTTATTAGATTAAGATACATGTATCTCTTTTGTCAGTCCAAACACAACTTGGTCAGCTAATCCATTTTTAACACTTTGAAACAGGACAGTGTATATTTAGGTCCATACTTCCCTACAAGGGGAAGGTTTTTCCAGGGATAATTTACATTTGTTTTATGATTACAGTTTGCCCTGATCAGGATGTACCAGATACACACATTATTCAAACAGTCCCATGCATTTTGGGAAAGGTGGACTGGAATCATTTCTAACTGCTGGCATTTTTCTTTTTCACTGTTTGGGTAGATCCAATTCCTTCTACATAGGCTGCACGTGGAGTCCACTTACATGTATTTACCAACATCATGCAGATGTTATGTTTGCTTCTGCATTGGTTACAGGTGTCGTGTACCATTCCCTGCAGTAATATATGTATATGTGTATGTTTCTGGATGTATATAGGGGTCCCATTAATGCTCTGTCATCTAGTGGAAAATTGTTATAGCAATAGCTTTATTAGATGAGTAACATTCAATGTTGACCATCAACAGAAGTTTCCAAAGGGCTACATATCAGATCAGAAGCCCATGATGGCAACCCCATTATATACCCTCAGTCCTGAAACCTAGATGTGCTTTGATTTCTGCAACTGGGAGTATGCCAACCTGGGAACTGAGCAGTAGAGCTTTATGTTGGCATTATCCACTTAAGTGTCTGGGACTGTGGACATCAAGCTCTAGACAACATCTTTGGGAAAAGCATTAGACTAGTGGGCCCCCTATAAAATTAACATTACAGTGTAGCCTTCAAGGTTTTATTCAGAACATGACCTCACAAATGTGCCTTCTTTGTTTGTTTTTGTTCACTGAGCAGTATATTAATTAATCCTGGAAACCATCTTAAGATCCAAGAAGGTACTTTAGGATTTTTCATCGCAAGTGATGCCAAAGAAGTTAAAAGGTAAGTGTTTATATATATCTGCCTTCCTTTCTGGCCCAGCCATAGACATCTTGATCCACCATGATGGGCCTGCTTTCAATATGTATAGGGCCCTAACCCCAAAACTTCTTAACCATGTGTCCATAGGTATCAATGGTACTGAGTCTTAGGAAAAAGAGAGCATGCTTTCAAATGCTTCCGTGAACTCCTCTTCACATAATTGATTCCACATCTTTGAACTAGAGTAATAACATTTTAGAACTAGGAGGGCCTAGCTAACTGCTCCTTCATTTTCCAAGGGAGGAAATTGAGTCCCAGAGAACTGAAGTGATTTTTCAGGGTCATCCTGATTCAGAACAACATAACACAAGACAACTGGTTCCTTGTCTAGTACTCTTGACCTAATATCCAGACAAATTTACTCTAGTATTATCCACTTTCTAATCTAAATGCCAAGTGGAATCTCAAAAGGTTTGGATTAATTTCAGATGAAATACTAAATTGGCTATATTTCTCTTTGTGGCCTTCTAGGTAAGTAGTTGAAATTGTCAGTTTCAATTCTTAAGCCTGTGTAGATACAGCCCTGGATTTCATTGACCTCAATGTTTTATGACACTTTTATTAGTATCCTTAAACCTGTTTAAGCAGCCTAGGCATCATAGGGCTCTTTGGAGAACACCATGGAATATTGTTATATTTGATTCTGTCCTAGGAACTATGAAAAATTTATTAGCAGAAAATGTGGCTCAAACAGGCCACTCACTTTAACAATAATGTTACTTAAAATATTTCAAATAAATTATTAATTGTGAAAGATCTCCAATTATTTATGTAAGCCTATTACTTTCATTTAATGAGTTCTTATTCAAACCAGGCCTTTGCTAGGTGTTCTACATTCTTTCTTGCTAGTCCTCAAAATAACCTCATAAGGTAAGTCTTCTAAAACCATTAAGGGCTTTAGTTTCCTCATCTGTAAAGTTGAGATAAATAATTTGTCCAAGGATATACAGCACATAAGCGAGTGGCAGAGCCCAGATTGGAAATGGTCTTTCCTTTTCCCAAACCCACACTTTCTACCAAATTTAATAACACTAGAAAATTCTTATGTAGAGTTTAATATGTGCCCACGCTGCTCTAAGTATCAGGTACCATGAACTCACGTCATCCTCTCAACAACCTTATGAGATAGGTAGCATTACTATTTTCGTTTTACACACGAGGAGACTGGGTGCAGACTGGTTAACTAACTTGCCCAAAGCCCCACTGCTAAATGAGTAGTAAAGCCAGGATTTAAAATCAGGAAGTCCAGTTCCAGGGCTTACGTTCTTAATTATTTGCCAAGAGGTAAGCCTGATGTGCTGAGCACAGAACAATGATATTTGACAACTGATACCTATTACATTTTTCCTCTTCACCCACTCCTGCAAACTAACCATAATAGTTATAAAAGCTTTTAGGGGAAAAACATGGAAACAAACAAAGAAAAAACCCCAAAAAGCAAAACAACAACAAAAAAGAAAAATTCTTTAAACTGAGCTATCTAATGGCTTAAATTTACTTCTACAAATTGGGAAATAATTGCCATTATTCAGATGGGGACAAGAAAACCTCCTTATCCAGCTCATGGATCCTGACTGTTCTTCGGGAATACCTCAAGAACTGGGTTCACCTGAGCGGAAAGTGGGCATGAATGGGACCGAAGCCTCCTCCAGGTCCCCTGGAATAAAAGGTTGTGCTCATATCCAGACTGTAAGACACACAAGCAGCATCTCAGCACCACATACAGGGGGGCTGGGGAGCACAGCGGCACCGTAGATCACGTGTACCTCCCAGATAGCAAATATAACATGAAGCTCCCATTTGTGTAATTCTATTTCCTATTACATCTCTCGCTAATGAATGTCACAAATACCAGGCAGTCCAAAAAACAAATTACCTCCTGTATTAGGGAGTGCAATATGTCTCATTTCAGTGCTTTATGGTATTCACAAATACATGCTGACACAATCAGCTACAACACCAGCCTATAATTTTCCGTAGTGTGTGATGTGTTGGAGCAAATGCTGTTGGTTACAGGATTTCAAATAGATGAAGACTGCAGAAAACCACAGACAGGGCCTTGGGGACTTGAATGAAACTAAACAAGTTTTGTAAAAATGGAAAAGTTGATTATGATGATCCAGGATTGAGGTTGTACCTCTCCTACAAAAAAAGCAACCAAAGAAATGAATGGATTTTAGCTCACAGAAACTCAGATGCGGCATTTTAGGAAAAGAGGAATGAAACCATCCATTCCAGTCTTTGAAAGGTCAATTTTTTAGATGAACATTTGGTTACTTGTCCACTATTCCTTGCCACTAAATATTTTCCTTCTTAAATGACCTTGGTCTTTAATGTAGGAGCCACAAAATGGCGCCTCATTGGCTCAGTTTGACTTGCAGACAGGATTCATTTGATTCACAATTGTAACAAATAGATGAGTCGCCAAGAGGAAGACATCATCATGTTTTATTTAAAAATCTTTATTTCTGGTTTCTCCTGAAAAACTTGCAGATCTAGCATTACTGGGTAGCATTCTCACACTCATTCATCCATCAGATGCCTGCAGGTCACTCACTTTCTAGAACGCTCTGTACCAGGTGCCAGGGAAGCAGTGGTGAACAACAAAGTCCTTGCTTTCAGGGGCTCAAGTTCTGGGGAGGAGAGAATAACAGTTTTGTTTATTTACAATACATTAATCAAAGTCTTAATGCAACTGGGTCACTGATTTAGATTGTGTGTAAGTGAAGGCTGTTCTGAAGGAGCCACATTTGAACAGAGATGGAGGTGATGGGAAAGAGTCCATCATACAAAGATTGGAAGGGAAGAGGAGACAAGGTGAGGACAGTGTTGTTGTGTGCAGGGAGCCAAGGAAAGGAAAGTATGTCTGAGGGAGTAGTGTGGGGAGACAAGGTAAGAGAGAAAGGCAGGGCTGGCTCCCAGAGGTTTTGATAGAGGGGTTGGGTTGTTAGAAGATGGAGTCATTGATGGTTTTAAGCTGGGGGTGATGTAGTCTGATTTATATTATTGAAAGGTCTTTCCTCTCCATTATAAAGAATGGGATATAGTGCAACAGGAGAGGGTGCTCAGAGATGGAGAGACTGCATAGTGTAGGTGACAGAGAATAATATGGGCTAGGCTGGTGAGTGGAGGTGCAGAGAAAGGAGACTGATTCAGAATATATTTTACTAGAGAGTCTATAGAGCACACTGGTGGACTGCATATAGGAAGTGAGGGTGAAAAAGAGGAATCAAGAATAGAGCCTAGATATGGAGCTTGTGCAGTTGGGTGGATGTTGGTTCTCCATCTTACTGAGACGGAGAGGGAAAGCTGGAAGAGAAGCAAGTTTGAGGTGTAGGAAATTAAGAATTCAATTTTGCCATGTTAAAATAGGAGATTTGCACTAAACATACACATAGAGATATCATAAAGGCAGTTAGATGTAAGATTCTGGAGTCTGGGGGAAAGATGATAGCTGGAGGTGTCATTTATGGGAGGGCCCTGGCCAGAAACAGATGACACACCTAAATGAGAAAAGAGAGAAGAGTTTTATGAAGAGACCATATAAAGTTGTGGGCAGAGAGTTAAAGAGAGCCAGTAAGGGATGGTGAAGCATCCCAGAGCTAACAACAGAGGGGAGCCATTCTCAGCCCTAAATCTACAGTCAAAGGGAAGGAGAGCTATCGGAACCTGTAGAGAGAGTTTGTATCATAAGAAAGGCTGCCTGGCAGGAGCTGAGCCCTCTTAGGGTAGAGATGTGGCCACCACCTTTCCATGACCCAGCAGGAAGAACCCTCTCTTCCCATCCTCCAGTCTCCTGCTGGCTCCTCCCATTGGCTGAACACAACAGGAGACCAGAGGATAAGGAGACCCTAAAGACCAGCCTTCTGGGGTATGGATCTGGTCTTCTTGATGATGTGTGTGTCAGGGTCACCTGCTGAGGGCCACTTAGGGAAGGGCTGCGGTGGGCGGGAGAGGAAGAGGTTGAGGAGAGCAGAAGGAAGGATATGGAGTAGGCCTGAGGGTGTGGAGTAGAAGGAAGGGATATGGAGTAGGCCTGAGGGGTGTGAAAAGTCCTCTGGAATCCATGGCCCTGGATTTGAAGTGAGATCAGTGTTTCCTTTCCTGAGCTCAGCTGCTCAGGTGCAAGTGTGCAATAAGGTCAGGGCTTTGCCAGGTGAGCATGAGAAAGGCAGAGATGGGTGGGGACGAGCATGGTGCTTGCAAAAAAATGACACTTGGCAAAACTCAGCTGGAGCTTAGCTACTGAGCTCCCTCTGGTTGGGATGTGTCTCCAGGACTGCAGACCAGAGACACCCTCTCCCCAGCCACATCTCACTTGTTAACTTTACCCTTATCTTCAGAATCAGCTTTAATTCATGAAGTAATCCACTTGATCTTCCCAATAGTCTACTCAGACTCATTACCGTTCCATCATCTCTTCATTAGAGATGTGTTTAAGACCTTGAGCTCTGGGATTAGACTGTGTGCAGTTGAATCCTGGCTCTGTGTGACCTTGGACAGGTCATGTAACCTCCCTGTGCTTCAGTTTCCTTATCTGTAAAACAGAGATAATAATCACTACTCCTTCAAAGGATTGTTTGAGGATCAAATACATTAATACTAATAAAATGGTTAGAATAGCACTTGGCCTATACTCTATGCTCTATAAGTGTTCCCTGCAGTTGTTGTCATTATTATCATGTGTAACAGCATCAGGTGGGAGAGAAGATGGCCAAGGGAAGTGGAAACAAGATGACTTCCTCCATTCCTGTCCTCCCCCTTTCATAGCCACATTGCCCGGCAAGACAAATAATCAGCTTTTCTTTCTTTCTTTCTTTCTTTCTTTCTTTCTTTCTTTCTTTCTTTCTTTCTTTCTTTCTTTCTTTCCTTTCTTTCTTTCTTTCTTTCTTTCTTTCCTTTATCTTTCTTTCTTTCTTTCTTTCTTTCTTTCTTTCTTTCTTTTTCTTTCTTTCTTTCCTTCTCAACATGGATAAACACTGGCATTTAAAGAAATTTATTATTTGAAGAAATAGTGACTAGAGCAGAAAGAGCTTGGATTTTAGAAGTCCTGGGGCCGGCCAAACCCAGCACAGGATGACTTTGGGCAGGTTCTGACAACCCCCTCAATTTACAGATGGGAACAGAGCCCTGGGGACCCCTAAGATGTCTTCCAGATCCCAAAGTCTTAACATTGATTCTAATCGGTGCCAATCACATGCGCAAGTCCTGTGAAAATATAAAAAGGATCCTAGGAATAGAGTAGTCAGGAATTGTGTTTCTTTCTTTATAGTCTTGGTGAAGGGAAGACCATGTTTATCCCTGGCATTCAATTATGTTGGGAGTGGTAAAGCCAAGGATTTTGTTAGTCCCTATTTCCAGAGCTTGTAAGATTGTTCCAGGGAATTTTATCCCAGTAATCCCCTGTCCTAAAAGAATATAGGCCTCCAGTGCTGTTCTTCTAGGTCTTATGCATTCTGTGCTTGAATGATCTTGTTTTCTCTCATCCAGAATATCTTTGACACAGCCAATGTGCTTTGTAACCACAGCTTGACACTTTTGTCAGTTGAGGGGATCTTTTTGTTGACTTCTTCCACTGGGTACCCAACCCAAGAGTGCCCTCTGCCCACCTCACTGCAATGCTCAGCTGAGCTGTGCTTCACCATGAGAGGAAAACATCCATTAATTACGTGTTCTTGGGGCTGGAGAGTACGAGAGTTGATCCTTCCAGTTTGGAAACAAATATGGGCTATGAAATGCCAGAAGAAATTTGACAGAGGACCCCTTTGACTCACCACTTTTGTCTTTCCCTGTCACCTTCCTCCTTAATCTCCCTCACTTTGGAAAGAAATGTGCTTTCAGACTGACAAGGCTAATGTTTTTATTTGACTGTGGAACCCTATCCTTGCAGCCCCTTTGATAGCTATCTGACCAGACAGCAAGGGTCTCGGAGATGTGTTCAACTTCCCGACCAGGGGCCTGGGGCTGGTTGCCTACGTGTTCCGATGGGCGGCACTGAATACTGTGCCCAAAAACGAAAGACGAGCAAGCAGACCCAGGGTGTCACATCGGCAGCCATTCCCCCAGTTCCTTTTCAAAGGAAAGTTTATTAAAAGAAGCACTAACTCAAAATGCAGAATCTTGTGTTTGAAATAAAAGGTCTTGCAACAAACATTTCCGTCTGTAAACGTCTAAACCTTTCAAAAGATTAAAGGAAATTAGTGCTGGCGTGTTTCATTAATTTGGCACCACGGTGGAGGAAATGTGGTACTCATTTCATTCGGGTGGATTATGAAACGTGTCAGTTTTTCCATTCTCTTTCTCCAGGGCATTTTTTTACTGCAAGGCCTGTCATGATGACATCACAGATCCCAAAAGAATAAAAAAATGCGGCTGCAAACGGCGTAAGTAGTGTTTCTTTCCCCCTTCCCCCCCTCCCACCCTTTCCCCCAAATTTGTTTCCCTTCTCCTTTTCCTATTAAAGAAACACTAAACATCAAGAGGTTTCTTGAATATGTTTATGTTTCATCCAGCAGTTTAAAGAGACATGAAAAAATGCTCTGTCCTCGCTTTCTAGAGCAGGGGAGGAAAAATCACCACCATCAACACCTTTGAAAGAACCTAGTGCCTAATCCCTATCTCTGGACCCTGCAGGGATGCTGAGGTGGTGTGTCCACTTGAACATAGTCAGTATGGTGTACAAAAAGGAGGACAGCTAAGACCATGGAGGAGGGAGAATTTTTGCATAGTCATTTCCAGTCGAGGTGGGACCGCCATATGTGAAGATGGCTGTACTAGGGTTGAAAGGGAAACTGAGTCTGAGGATGCTGTAACCCAAAAGGGAGCTGACTCTTTTTCTATTTGGGACTGCTGCCTTGATACCAAGGTCCAGAGTTTTCCCTTGTGGTACCCTCAGACTGGTCCAGGAAGAGGACTTGGCCACCACCAATCACCTTTATTTGCCGTTGCTCCAATAACCAACCTCAAACACCATTGCTCCTTGGGGTAGACTAGATCGGGCTTGGTAGCTTCTGGCATATGCCGTCTCAAATCTCTTCCAAAGCAGCTTGCCAACGGGACCTCTGGAGAAAGATATGGTAAGTCAGGGACTTTGGATCATGGGCTCCTGAGAAACCAGGACTTAAAGTGGGCTTGCCTTGAGAAGGCCATGCCTCTTGCAGTAATTATGTTGCATTGCCTAATAGAAATTGTTCATGACCTTAAAGAAAACAATAATAATGATGCCTTCCTTCCTGTGGTGATTTAGTATTTTTCTGAGCTCTTTATTTATGATCATTTTTTTTTCTTTGATCCTCATCCTAACCCTGGGTAATTGGCAGGGGATGTTATTAATTCCATTTTACAAAAAAGAGGAAACTAAGGTTCCAAGTTTAGTGGGAAGATGAGATTGCTAAGAGTCACACAGACCCAACGGACGGGGTTCAGGCTCACCCAAAGGACTTTCCATGTTGTGCACTCAGTGCTCTAATCATTTTTGCAAGAGAGGAGGGCAAGGCAATGACCTTGGGTCTGATGAGTAGAAAAACAATTATGAAAGATCGCCCCACAAAATACTTTTTCTTAAGCAGAAATCAGATAGAAGAGCACTATTCCTGGGATATGCCAACCAAAGCAAGGGCTTTTTTCACTGCATTCCTGAAGGGGGGGACACAGTAATGTAAAACCAGTAAGATATAAATACCACTCTGCTGGAGCACGAAGACGCTCAATTTCTTAGGCAAATACCCATGGGAGCACTCTTGGTCCAGAGCAATTTCTGTAAAAATCCTCTGAAGCTGGTTCCCAAGTTTGGGGCAGCTTAGGCCCATTGCTTTGGCTTTCTCCACTGACTCAACACACATGGCCCTGTTCCCCCCAGCTTTGACACCTTACTCCAAGTAAGGTGAGTATTTATCGATGACTTAGTCAAAGAAAGTCTAAATTCTTTTTTTTTTTTTTTAAGATTTTATTTATTTATTTGAGGGGGAGAAACAGAGCATGAGTAGGAGGGAAGGGCAGAGGCAGAGAGAGAAGCAGGCTCCTCACTAAGCCGGGAGCCCTGTGCGGGGCTCCATCCCAGGACCCCGGGATCATGACCCAAGTCAAAGGCAGATGCAGAATAAAACTGAGCCACCCAGGCACTCCAGATACTCTAAGTTCTTGAGGTCTAAGAATTCTGATTCTGACAACCTAAGGAGAACATCTAAGAAACAACAAACCCACTTCACTTCCAATCCCTGGGACTCATTGATGCCAAAGGCCCTTCTTACCAGGGCATCCACCCTAGTCCTGCTTGGTTGGTTGTGAAGACAGAAACACAGCTTGGCTAACCAGGCACCCCCCAGACCATTTCCATCAGAGGAACACAGTATCCCAAGGTGGAAGTAAACAAGAGTTACAAATATGAAAGGGTTAACTCCTTTATAAGGAAACTCTTGTAGCGGGAGGGGGTTAGGAAATGCAAGAGTGTTGAGGCCAATAATCCATGGCCAGATATCTGCCAAAGAATCTGGTCCTGTAATACCACTGAAATTCACTTATTGACTAGGCATCTGCATATTTCTGTAGGTGCTTTCTTGCTGCCTGGGATGGAAGGGTGAACAAGATAACCACTGTTCTTTTGAAGCCTTCACTTTAGTGAATGAAGACAAACAATGATCATAGAAACCATTAAATTCAGATAGAGTCAAATGCTATGAAGAGAGAAGAGACTGCCTGAGGGTATGGGAACTTGTAAGGATGCTGCTTTAGCCAGAAAGGTCTGGAAGGCCTGCCTTGGAAGGTGACATTGAAGCTGTGACCTTGTCCAGGTTGGTAGGAGAGCAAGGGCAGAGGTCAAGAGGCAGGAATAAGTTTGAAATGTTGAAAGGAAAGAAGGAAGGAAGGAAGGAAGGAAGGAAGGAAGGAAGGAAGGCAGGCTGGCCGGCCGGCCGAGGTCAGAGAGGAAGCCAGGGGCCATGGTGAGAAGCCCAGGTTTTAGTCCTGTAACTGATACAGCCATTGGGAGATTTTGAGCAAGGGTACAGCATCATCAATTCCTGTATTAGATGACCTCCATGGTGCCTGGCCAGAGAACAAACTCTAGGAAGGTAAGGGTAGAAGGCAGAATGATGGAGAGAAAGTGTCTCTGACCCCTGTTCTGATACTGGAATGTTCCTCATAGGCATGTAGCAGAACTCAGCAGAAAGCTTTCAAGTCCCTAGAAATGAGCATTTGGCCTCTAAGATATTTTTCCACCCTGATTCCAGGCAAGCAAACAGCAGCTAACTTTAACTTCATCCTAGAGGGAGAGGCACATAATCGTTTGAAAGAATTTTATTCTTTTCGTTCCCCTTAAAGCTGGTTCAGCTACGGAAGTGTGTGATCTCTTACCATGCAGCATGGCACGGATTGCCACAGAAGGAATGCCCCCAAAGCCCAGCCAACATGACAGGGGTCTTGCCCCTGTCTCTTTGTACCTCCTTCCCTCTTGAGCTCTTCATCTCATAGAGGCCCCCGGCTGTGAGGTTAATGTTTGATAACAATCAAAATTGTCCAAATATTGTTCTTCCTAATTAAAAGGCCATAGCAGCCTGTGTTACAGAGGGCAGGATGCAGATGTGTATGTGTAAGGGGTGATCAGAATAAAGTGAATTATTAAACATGAACTTCCCTGTGCATACCAGGCAAGTCAGGAAATTGGGGAAGATGGGCTTTGGTTGCAAAGAAACTTTCATTAGAAGGAGTTAGAACTGCAAATAATGCATTGGGGAGTTCCTGTGCCTTTGAATGCACATTGCCTAGTGCCCTAAGTTGGAGAGGGCAGCTCACTCACACAGTCATTAGTCCAAAATGTTAGGCCAGGTGTTAATAATTCACTCTAGAATGATACATCTCCACCAGGGCAGAGCTGATGACAGTCATTGGTCTTTATCCGCAGCTTCCTAACCCTCCCCTCCCAACCTAGCTCTTCCCCTTCCAACCCCATCCCCACCTCCCCATTCACCTCGAACAGTTCATGCCATACTATCTGGGAAAATATTGAGTGTGGACATTCCATTTCTGGAAATTCTGTGGTAGTATAGTTTAACTTTTGCATTTCTTTCCATTTCTTCATAGCATTCCATCAAGGAAGAGAGTCAAATTCAGCTGTCTGGCCAAGGAGCAAGCTCTCAGAATCTACTATTTACCCATTTTCTTTTTTTGTATAACAAACCTGGTCTAATGATTTACATTTTTTCCCCCAGCCTGTAGAAGTTTGCCAAAGGGTGGACTCCCAGGGGACAAGTCATGTCTGAATTGATGTATTTGAAGGAATTTTCTTGAACTTCTAATCATTGACGTATTTTTGATTTATTTTTTTTTCTCTTTGCTGCCTTGGAATACGGCCCCTACTCTATTTTAACTGCACACTGGTAGTGATATATTGTGAGTAAAACGGGTTCCCAGTAGCCCGGAGTCCAGTTCCCCCTGTCTTTCTCTAGAAGAGATACTTCTTTTATTTTCTGTACAGTTTCAGTTTCTTTTTTTCTTTTGGTATTTATGTTGCATGTAGCAGTGACATCATGCCCCAACTCCCTCATCCAACACGGTCTGCAGAGTAGCCTGGAGCTCGAGACCCCTGAGAGCAGGGAACCCACCCCCACCTCCGTTCATCTTCCCATCTCCCAGCCTCTTGCCAGCTTCTGGCGCTGTCTTATTTTTCCATTTGAAAATAAGACCTTGACCACAGTGTTTCTCTTGAAGGCCTTGTCTCAGGACCTTTAGGGGACGCTGAGTAGGCTGAGGTAATTACCACTATAGCTGTAGATGCCTCGTCAATTGGGAGTCATTGTCATGCTTGCCTTTGATAAATTAGACCTGGTCTCTGCTACTGAGCTTGAATTCCTATCCTGAAGGAAACACATATGCTACATATATATTCCTGTGTTGTGATATATATATGATATGTACCAGTACTTTATATGTAAAAATGAACATTTTTATATATAAGCATAGAGATATTTTATAGAGAGAGTGATGCATTTATTACAATATACGTACCTCTCTATGTGAGAAAGTGCTTGTTAGAGAATTAATTGGACACCAAACTTTGGGATTATAAGTATCTTAAGCCACCTTACTGGAGACAAGTACCCAGTACTTGTCTTCTGTGGAAACAGTGGTAATTATTTCCTACAGTCTATGAAGTTCCCTTGCTTTTAAAGAAAGTTTCTCTTTCAGTCAGTACCCACTAGGACATATGCAGTTCTGCCTTGGGCATTAGTCAGGCATCTTGGAAGATCCATTTACTTGTTTAAGGTGGAAAAGGTGGTTCAAGAACATTGTTCCATTTTGCTAGAGAGCTATGCAGAAGTCGGAACAAGTCAACTAACCCTCTGAGCCCCTAACTTACAGAGTAGGAGCCCTCTCACCCAACAAGATG